TGCCCATTATGCTCTTCTATACTTGAGACCCATAAAGCACATTTGCGATCAGATCCACAGAAAAATCTCGGAGCATCGGACAGTGACACAGTTATCGAGATATAAAACTGTTGTAGTTGTCAGCAAGAACGTGTGTATCTATTACTGATTACACTAAAGTAATCTATTCCACACGTATTGACAAAGCAATTTTCCAGTTAAGTCACTATTGATTTTTGATCAATTGTTTTATTACAGGCTATGTGGGCGTGGTTAACCGGTCCCAGCGTGATATCGACGGTCGCAAAGATATCTCGGCTGCTTTGGCTGCCGAACGGCGTTTTTTCCTCGCACATGCTAGCTACCGTCACATGGCCGATCGGATGGGAACACCATACCTGCAACGGGTGTTGAATCAGCAGCTGACCAATCACATTCGCGAGTCCCTTCCGAATTTGCGCAACCAACTGCAATCTCAACTGATGTCGTTAGAGAAAGATGTGAACGACTTTCGGAACTACAAGCCGGACGATCCGACCTATAAAACCAGCGCATTGCTCAGGTAAATTTGCTGTTTTTGCTTTTGGATTTGCCCATACCCGTGCTACCTGATTGCGAAACTTGTGTTTGTCTTTCAGTGTGGTTGTATGCTTTCTACATAGAGCCGGTTACAACTCATCTGACTGTCGAATTTGCGATGATGGTAATTGGCCTTCTCGGTAGGCGGATTCGATTACTTATGCATGACCATATTCAAATCCAGTTTCCTTATATCCGTGTGTTGCGTCATCACATAAGTTTTCCATTGAAGTTGATGATCAAACCTTAGTTAATTTCTTGTCTCCGCTTAGCGTCATTGAAATAAGCTAGCTCCTCTAGGGCAGCCGAAAATAAACCGATTTTAAATCTTCCAAACAAAGTACTCACTTGGTATTTGCCAACTTGAGACATTTGTGGTTCCGTCGCGACATCCGGCTATCTGTGAAGGGTCGAGTGTATGATACAGCTGTTCGGCTAGTCCTGCTCTACAGTGCAGAGTCTTCACCACTACGAGGACAGGATAAAAATAGATGTTTGCCGAGGCCGGTAGCGGTTGCGAAAGGGTCAAAGGTGGGCAAACGAAGACCTGGTATGAGGATATGAAAATCCTAATCAAGAGACTAGGTCACATAGGTCCCGTTAGACTCCCTGGCTAGGGACCTCGGGATGATGGTCACCAATGGTTGAATAAACTGAGTGATATGACTGGATTTCACAAACAGTGGTGCTCGTGCATCCACTCATTATCCCCCTATCACTGTTCTGTGTGAATTCTCCATCTTCCACTTGAATGTGCTTTCAACATTCCAATCTTCATTCTGCTCTTTTATCCAAATGGGGCACCAGAAGACAGCAAGTAAAACCGGCGGGCGAAATTGCATGGTTAATGGTTGTAAAAACTGAACTGAACTTGTGGCATCGAATCGATATCAGTTTTTTATTAAAAAACTGAGTCTACAATGCCACCATTCGAGCAGAAGACGTACGGAGACTAAGTGTTTTTGACCACAGTCGCCTTCGTTGCGTCGTCAGAATACGTTTGTTACAGCGACTCACTAAAGACGAGGTCCGCAGAATAATCTTTCACTCAGATAACCTGAGTGCCACTATCGTGCTTCGATGTCTGGGACACGTGTAGCGGATGTCTATTCAACGACTGCCCCAACGCGTTATGTTAGGGCAGGTCAACACTAACTGGAAGCGGAGACGAGGTGGACAACGAATAGCCCGGAGTCAAAGGTGTTGACCTCAAAACTGGTAGGACTCTATAGACTCCCAAGTTGATGTCCCAAAAACAGCGAACACGAAGCATATCACAAAGCATAACTTGGAATATTTTGGTCCCACGATTGCCCCAGATCCGTTTTATGCCGTAGGCATTTTAGTGCTCGTTAATGACGTGCAACCATCAAAGGCTGTGTCACACTTAATTTGACCATAACTACCACCCGATTACCAGGGTGTTTTTGTACCACTCACTAAATAAATTGATAAAAGGGATAGAAACCATGCACGAAGGCTACAGACCCACAAATAAAGATGGAATAGTCATGGAAACACAAGCACGGTGTGTAATGTGCGCATGCTGCTTTGTATAGGAATTGTAATAAGGTATATCATCTCCTACGGACGCGATTCTGACTAGGGGTATTAGTTTTCCGACGATAGCTTCCTTGCTCTTTGTGTAATAACGACGTTTTGCATTTTCGGATAATAACTCAACATAGCACTAAGAATCGCAGTACTCTGTGGTGTAATCTTGAATCAAATGAGTGGAATTCCTTCGCACCCGTTCATTGTTTTGTGTGTTGTTTCCTCATTGGATCTGTCAAACAACCAAACCCCCCCCCCCCCCCACCAAATCAGGTCATTTGACAC